GTAAAAATTGTGATGTGATGTGTGAATTTCATTGATGAGGAATGATGATATGGATTGCATGCTGAATGATTGTGTGTGTAACCAATTGTGTGAGCATGGAGACCTAGATCATCCTCTCGAGCCTTCAATGAGATTCCACGGTAAGTGTGTTGTTTGGGGATTTGTTTGGTGTTCTTAGCCTTCTGTTGTGTTGCAGATGGTTAGAGGTGGAGCTGTCGGTCGTGGTCGTGGTCGTGGTCGTGGGCGTGGTCGCGGTGGGGGGCGTGGTGTTGCCTCGGATAGCGACACAAGTGTGGGCCGAAGTGCTACGGCCGATTTTGTTAGTGAGTCCCAGTCGCATCAGGACGGGCCCGTGGGTGGTGAGAGTGTGAGTGCCGTGAGAGCCGGTTCGTCCGGGAACGGTACTAGTGTTGTTGGGAACCCGGTTGGGGGTGTTCCAACAGGTGAAGCCCAGGGTCAGAATGATCGGCTTGCGAATTTACTGACGCAGCTCTTGGAACGGTTACCGGGTGCGGTACCGCCGGTGCAGGCTCCTGTTGGGCCTGAGGTGCAGTCTCCTCTTGGACTTGATGTGCAGCCTGTTATGCCGGGTGTGCAGCCTGTTGTTGGGGTTGTACCGCCTGAGGGGGTAGGTGCGGTGGTCGAGCAGCCGTACTACCTGCGGATGTTGGAGCAGCTGCAGCGGTTCGGGATGTCCTTGTTCTTCAGAGGTTCCGACCCGGCTGTAGCGGATGAGTGGCGGGTGCGATTGGAGAGGTATTTCCAGTCGATGAGGTGCCCGGAGGCGTATCGGGTGGACCTAGCGGCCCACTACTTGGCGGGTGATGCACATTTGTGGTGGCGGAGTGTGCTAGCCAAGAGGGGGCAGGAAGTGGCGGTCTGGGGAGATTTCTTGGCAGAGTTTAATGCCAAGTATTTTCCAGCGGAGGCACTGGACCGGATGGAGTCGCAGTTCCTTGCGTTGACTCAGGGCGAGCGGTCGGTGCGGGAGTACGACTCGGAGTTCAGCCGACTCTTGGTGTACTCTGTGCGTGCGGGAGATCCTGAGCAGATGCAGGTGCGTCGGTTCATGAAGTGTCTCAGCCCCGACATGAGGGTGCCGTGCAAGGTGCGGGCCTATGCATCGCGTGTGGAGCTGGTTGAGGTGGCGGCAGGGATCGAGGACGAGTTGAGGAGCCACGGGGTGATTCCTAGTTCGTCGACGCAGCCGAAGAAGACCCAGCCACAGCCGCTTCCGAGCAGAGGTGGCAAACCTGCTCAGGGACAGAAGAGGAAGTGGGATGACACTTCCAGGGTGAGTCAGGGTGATCGGAGGTGCTTCAGGTGTGGGAGCACGGATCACAGGGTGGCGAGCTGCCCGAAGAAGGGCGAGCCGTGGGTGGATACCAGTGTCTGTTACCACTGCAGAGAGACGGGGCACATCAAGACGAGGTGTCCTAAGTTGCAGCAGATGGCGGTAGCAGCGGTGCAGCCGGTGATGCTGCCAGTGGTGCTGCAGTGGGTGCAGCCAGGATTGCAGTTGGCAGGGCAGTCGTTGGCTCAGCTGGGAGCACCGCCGGTGGCACAGATCGAGGGATCGAGGGGGTATACGACCGTGGAGACAGGAGAGCCAAGCACTGGACGGCCGATCACAGGTTTAACTCTAAGACTCATTCTGTTTCCTTCCGTTGTTTTAGAATTTGTGTTGTTTCCTGTGATTTTGGGGTGGGCGGTCTTAGTGAAAAGGGTTTGTGTAGGGACCCTGTTGGTGGGCGGGTTCCTGTCCCACGTGATGTTTGATTCTGGAGCTACGAATAGCTTCATTACCCCAGAGTGCGCGACGGGTGGTAACATCCGAGGAGATCCCGATGGTTGTTATGGAGCCGTTAGAGTCGCAGGAGGCGCTTTACTAGCGGTTCAGGGGCGGGCTAGTGGTGTGGATGTACAGATTGCGGGAGAGTCGATGCCGGCAGATCTGTACATTAGTCCGGTGGAGTTGTATGATGTAATTCTGGGCATGGATTGGTTGGAGCGGCACATAGTTCATCTGGATTGTCACCGGGGGAGAGTATACTTCGAGCGTCCTGGACCGAAGATGTTCTTCCAGGGTGTGAGACCGATTTTGGGGAGTTTAGTGATTTCGGCGATTCAGGCGGATAAGATGATCCGAAAGGGGCGGGAAGCTTATTTGACTACGATCGTCAAGCCAGAGACGGTCGATGAGGTAGCAGTGGATAAGATCCGGGTGGTTCAGGAGTTCGAGGATGTGTTTCAGTCGTTGAAGGGGTTACCACCATCTCGGTCTGATCCCTTCACGATTGAGTTGGAGCCCGGGACAACGCCGTTGTCTAAGGCTCCGTACCGGATGGC